GACCAATTACGGGAAACATGAACCTGTCAGCAGAACGCTGCGTTTGTGCAACAAACACAAACTTGAAATGAAAAAAGATACGATGAAAAAGCTTCTATTTACTTATAGTTAGGTATAACGTTTTTCTTTATTTTAACAAATTCTTGTTTTAGTTTTTCATTGTTTATATTGATATTAAATGGAATATTATTGCCAATAAGTTTTATTTCGTATAATTTTTAAATTTAATTTTTAAGTTAAAAATTTGTTCTGTCTAAAAAATAGGTATCTGTATATGCATTCTTTAATTTTAAGTTATGTAAAATGTTTGAGCTAAACATAAAGAAATGTCTCGACTTGCTATTTGTTCTCAAATAATAATCGCAGGCCATTGTTTTCTATTGCGTAGTTCTTTATTAAAGTAGGTTAAAATGACAATTCGATAAAATTTACACCTGTTTTTCCTGAAACTCCCAAATTCGTGATTGTTACTCTCATACATAAAGCTGATAAAAAAACAAATCTGTCTTACTGTTATGTCTTATTTTGGTATTAAACCGAATTAAAAAATGTAATATTTTTCTGAATGCTAAAAACATTCATATATATTTCGTTAACTACCATACGCACTTTATGAAGCCTTATTTTCTTATCAAACTTCAGAAGATTCAAAATTTTTTAAAAGACCGTGCTTTAAATGAGCAAGGGTATATATCAAATATATACACTAGAATACACCAAGGCAACTAAGCGTTTCTTACTAAATTTTATACGTCGAATGCATTACATTTTATGTGTCTTATATTCTTAATTATTTATAGCGGGCAGGACATAATTTTACTTATTAAATAAAATTTTTGGCAAATTATTTTAACAAAAATTTCAATTGCGCGATATCAAAAATTTTAGATTTTATAAATGAAGGCCTACGAAACATTGTTCATATACTGTAATAAAGGTGCATGTCTTTCTTAAGTGAACAAGGTAAAATTTTTGCTTATTTTATTTTTTTCGTAAGGTAAAAATTCACTGAAACCGTTAGTTATTAATTATTGTAAAACATAAGAATTCACCTATGCAAAATGTAAAACTTACCCGCAACACCTTGCAAATGAAAATAGCATAATACAATCGGGAAAAAAAATAAAATTTTTGAGATTAGTTCCATGGTAAATGTTTGTGTTATTTAAATGTTATAAATTTTATAGATATATTTTTCACAAAAAGTTCTGAATGAAATTTTAAAAACAAAATATTTTCAATGCATTTCCCATGAAATACCAATTTATGACTAAAGCCAGTTTGCTTCAATTCTTTCTTTATCATTTTGTTTATCATTTCCTATTTTGTTATACATAGGAATCGATAACAATTCCTAAAATAATTTCATTTAGTACAGTCAAAATAGGTACTTGTTTTCGAACCAAAATTAATATTTTTTTTTTTTTTTGTTTTTACTTTTTTGTTGAATAGTACTTGCAAACTATAACGTATATATGGAGCCATTACAAGTTTTAGTATTTACAGAAATCTTATATTTTTACCATTTAATTATTTTTATAATTATAAGGCATTAAATAAATAAAATTGACTAATAGTGGCATTATTTGTGTAAACATTATCACATGTTTACTAATTTCTGTAACGCCGTAACAACGGTTTCGAATTGTGTTAAATTCCATACTAGTCTTACAATACCTTTATTCGATATATATAGGTTTTATTTTTTGAAGCTATTTGCAGAATACTGCATTTGCTGGTTCAGCTTTTCCAACACCTAACATTTTTAATTAGCCGGTCAAATTCAGTTTAAAAATTTGCATGTCAAAAATACATATGCTCATGATAATAGTTATTACATTTAATCTGACTTGGTGAATTAGAAAGGCTTTTTAAACTAACAATTTTTCTAAAACTTGAACTTTACGTTATTTAGTCTAAATTGTATGTTTCGAATACTTGTCCTGCCACCATAACGTAAATATTAAAATTTTATCATGTAAGTTAAAAAAAATTTATCACATCGATAGCATTTCGATAATTTATTTTCTCACGTTATCTTAATTTAAAACTTAATACAAACGAAATACTTCCGATAGTATTTCTAAAACTTATAAACTTATTTTTATTAAATATAAGGAACGAAAAATGTAATACTTCTTTGAACAAAAATAAATTAAACAAATATAAAATATAAAGTATATTAATACATAATGCCAAAAAACTAACTTTTGAAGTAATTGTCTACACATCACTTCAAATAAATTGAAAATTTACCACGGTTACTATTATTTCCATAATTCAAGTATATTATTTCCTATATAACGAAGGAAAATAGTTTTCATAACCGGCAGATACATAGTGCCTGCCGAAATTCCGCCAAAACTCAATAGAACTCGCACATCGTTCGTAAGGAGCGGTTCAGTATAGACCTCTCATTTTCAGTAGAGGCTGCTGTGACGAAAAGATTTCCAGGCATAGACTTATTGTGTTTTGAAGAATTTAAGTTATTATTTCGCAAAAAAGATGTTTTCGTTTTGTTTAATTTTTTTTTTACAAGAAATTTTGCTTTATTCATTATAAATTTGTATTCGACTAATGTTTGATTGTTAAAAAGTAGAAAACGAAATTTGAACACTAAAAATTAAAATGCATATATATATTAAATGAAAGCTTTCTTGATTTAAACGTTTCGTCGTTGTAATTTGTCCTGATGGCTCTACGAAACAAACTGAAAATATACTCTTTTCGTACTTTTATTACTGATCAAAGTTTTTTTGCTAAATGGTTTAAGTGAAAGCTTCAAAATTAAGACTGTCAAAGGTAATATCTTGATGTCTTTCGTATAGTAATCAAAATAAATTCGTATGATAAACCAAAATTAAATTTTATACACAGGCTTTTACACTCTCATTCCATTCTATCTTTTAGCAAAATAACTTATTAAAAAAATTTTAAATTTTTATTATTTTCAGAAAAGTTTTGTTGAACAAAGATCCACAATAACCTGCCACTTGTCAGAAAGAACCCCGTCTCCTTTGCATTCAATAACACCAACTATATCTGGGACCAAATTTAGAGGTAATGTAGCTATTTAAAACAGTATTTTAAAATTCGTATTCGTATAACAGTGGGTACGAAAAATAAAAAATTGAAATATTGTAGTCTAAATAAACATTGTTCTTTATTCTAATCAGCTCGTGTAAAATAATAGTTTATGCAAAATTTTTACAAATTTGTATTATGTTTATAGTTTTACACTTCTTTCTTTAAAAAGATGGAAAAGACTTTCAAAGTTCAAATCTGGTTTTGCAAATAAAGTTTCCTTTTAATATAATTTGCAAACAAACTTAAAATATCGGGCAAAATATTTAATGCATTTGCATACGGGACATTAAAAATTTCGAAAACATGGCAAAAACAATCAGTTCTGAATACCTATACATATTTTACTAGATTAATTATGTAGTTTGATAACAGTAAAATAATAAAACCCAATTTCCTAATATCAATAATTAAAAAAGATTTAATTGGTAAAATATAACGTTGTTTATATGTATATAATTCGCAGTCATTGTCTGTGAATTTGTATATGTGTGCATGTTTATGTTTAAAAAATACACACAAACGTCTTCACTGCTTATTGGAGCTTCTATTAATAAAGTTCAATTACAGAAGAACAACAACGTCAAATTAATATGACAGTGTCAGTAGCAAATGATAATAATCAACAAAATACAATAACAACAACAACAACTGTTAAGTCAGCAATGATGTCATTAGCAATGCGTCGTTCTTCTAGTCCAGGAAATTCAAGTGGATCAGATAACGATACGATTAATAATTCTTCTGCTGCAACAGCATTACGTCGTTTATATTTCAAAAGCGGTAGATGTGTAAAAACAAAAACTGCAGATAATATAACACCCTTATCTACATCTCAAACATCAACAGTTCCGAAAGTAAGCAAATCATCATTTTCTTCTTATTAAAAATTTTCCGCTTATTAAAAATTTACCTTTGATTAAAAATTTATGAAAAAATGTTTAAGTTTAACTTAGTTATATAATATATTACATTAAATCTAAACAATTATAAATTACTTAAAAGTTAAATCATTTTCATTTATAACGCTTTATCAATCTCTTTTATTATAAACGTTATCGTGCAGCTTTTTGTATATGATACTTTTGTATTATTTAAAAACGAGTTGACCCATCCTGCATTTTAAAAACGCATTTAAAATACATTTAATTATTATCTTTCCCATTAATCTATATTTGTACATATGAAAATATAAAATCAGATTTAATGTCTTTATATCTAACTAGTCGCAATAGTCAATCTCAGCTCAATACTTAATTTCTTTTACGAATTCCGACTTGTTGCCTTCGTTCCTGTTTTTTTTTTAATTTTATTAATCGTGTCATATTTCTTATTATTTCTTCCTATTTTTAAGTAAAAAGAGTTTAATATTTAAAAAAATTTCATGATATTATACGCATACATATTTTAAAAAGCTTCCCATTTCAAATCTGTTGAAGGAAAAAGAAAGAAATACAGGAAGAAAGAAAAAATTGAAAAAATTTTTTTTTAAATATAAAGACATTATCAGATCCTTTACAACAAGCATTCAAAACTAATCAGTCTTTATAAAGCTGTGGTTTAATAAAAACTGATGTTATAGTTTCGTATTGAAGACATCTCTTATAATACATATGTATGTACTTTACACAAGATACTTTTCCATTCAGTTTGTTCATATCTTTTTACGTTGTGTATACAACAGGGTAAGTTATGTGATGTCGAGTTTTCGGTGGGAACAAACTTCTTCATAGTAGGGGAGCATAAATAAACTATTTTTAGAGAGGTGTCGGTCTGTCGGGCTGTCAGTCTGTCTGTCCGTCTACCTGCTGAACCGATTTTGATGAAATTTTATATGTAAGTTTATTTCGAATATGTCACGAATTAATCAACTTTTGGGATATATCAGGCTATGGGAATTGGATCTTTTATTTGAAGAAAATATTCATAAGATTTACTTGAAATTACATACATAAGCTTCATAAGTCCGTCCGCGAGATCTCCTAACTTTTGGAAGAAATCAGCCAACAGCAACTGGACGTTTACTATGGATCAAATATACATTTTTGCGTATTGTATAAAGAAAAATAATCAACCGATTTCATTGAAGTTTAATATTTAAATTTGAGGTGTCAAAACAATGAATCTATAAATTTTTTGGAAAGATCAGGGCTCGGAAACTGATCCGGGAGCCGATTTTACACTTTTTACCACATCTACGGAACGAATTGATGAAATTTCTTGAAATTCAATATTCGAGTTCTAGTTATTACCAAAAGTTACTGACGAACTTTTTGTATAAACCAAATTCACATTTTTTTAGGTAATGTTAACTAAAAGCTTATTTTTAACATAAAAGAAATTTTAAGTGTCCTTAAAACGCGTTTCATAATATTCTGGAATACTTTTACTAATCTAGACAATATACATTGCGGTCGGTTATTAGATCAGATTTTTAATATACATCATATTATTTTAATATACCTGAACTTACATTAAGCACCTGAAAACTGGGGCGCAGTTTAAAAGTTTGTAATTGCATAATTACAAACATCTTTTGAGGGGAGTGTGTATAAAGTTTTGTAATTTAAAATAGCCTCACTCAATCTTTTGCAATTTCCAAAGTGGTTTTCCGCATATCACTACAACATGGATATATTGTTCTTTCACATGTTTTCAGAATATTCTAATAAAAATTCGCATTATTTTGACGTTTTTTTATTAAATTTTGTCAATAAATTTAGGTTTCTTAAATTTTTGGAATAGTATGTGCCTGTATCATTTAACAACATAATAAGATGAATGTTTTTTTCATTATACCCTGCACTTCGTGAAGGGTATATTAACTTTGGTATGGAGTTTGTAACTACTTGAAGGAGTCATCTGCGGTATGGACATATATATATATTCTTGCTCAGCGTAAAATTCTGCGTCGATTTAGACATGTCCGTCCGTCCGTCCGTCCGTCCGATCGCACGATAACTCAAAAACGAATAATGCAATCGACACCAAACTTTCACAAGTTTTTTCTTTTGTGCCAAGGACGAACCCTATTGTTATTGGACTAAGTCGGACAACGGGTTCGGGTAGCTGCCATACAACTCCAAGAGTTTATTTTAAATATTTCAAAAACTAATAAAGCTATAAATATAAAATTTTGTATACATGTGTCCAATTATATTCTACACATGCTCTAAAAATTATAATGGGATAGCTGCACCGGTTCGGGTGGCTGCCATACAACTCCAACAGGAAATTTTTTATATTCGGCAAAATAATAAAGTCAGATTCATGGAACTTGGCAGTCATGTGTCCAATTATAGGTCAAATATATTTCTGAAGTTTTGGAGGAATAGCTTGACAGGTTCGGGTACCTGCCATACAACTCCATAAGCTAATTTTAAATATTTGGAAAAATAATAAAGTCAGTTTCATGAAACTTGGCAGTTGTGTGTCCGATTATAGATCAGATATATTTGTGAAGTTTTAGTGGAATTGCTTGACAGGTTCGGGTACTTGCCATACGACCCCAAAAGCTTATTTTAAATATTTGGAAAAATAATAAAGTCAAATTCATGAGACTTGGCAGTCGTATGTCCAATTATGGGTCAGACATATTTCTAGAGTTTTGGTGCCATTGCTTGACAGGTTCGAATAGCTCCCATGCAAGTCTAAAAGCTTATTCTTAATATTTGGAAAAATAATAAAGTCAGATTCATGAAACTTGGCAGTTGTGTGTCCGATTATAGATCAAATATATTTGTGAAGTTTTGATGGAATTGCTTGACAGGTTCGAGTAGATCCCATACAAGTCTAAAAGCTTATTCTTAATATTTGGAAAAATAATAAAGTCAGATTCATGAAACTTGGCAGTTGTGTGTCCGATTATAGATCAGATATATTTGTGAAGTTTTGATGGAATTGCTTGACAGGTTTAGGTACTTACCATACAACTCCAAAAGCTAATTTTAAATATTTTGAAAAATTATAAGGTCAGATTGATGAAACTTGGCAGTCGGATGTCAATTATAGGTCAGACATGTCCGTGAAGTTTCTATAGAATGGTTTCACAGGTTCGAGTAATTGCTACACAATAACGAAAGGTGCAGGGTATAATTCAATCGGTTTATACCGACTGAAACGTTTTTACTTGTTATACCCTGCACTTCGTGAAGGGTATATTAACTTTGGTATGGAGTTTGTAACTACTTGAAGGAGTCATCTGCGGTATGGACATATATATATATTCTTGCTCAGCGTAAAATTCTGCGTCGATTTAGACATGTCCGTCCGTCCGTCCGTCCGTCCGTCCGATCGCACGATAACTCAAAAACGAATAATGCTATCGACACCAAACTTTCACAAGTTTTTTCTTTTGTGCCAAGGACGAACCCTATTGTTATTGGACTAATTCGGACAACGGGTTCGGGTAGCTGCCATACAACTCAAAGAGTTTATTTTAAATATTTCGAAAACTAATAAAGCTATAAATATAAAATTTTGTACACATGTGTCCAATTACATTTTACACATGCTCTAAAAATTATAATGGGATAGCTGCACCGGTTCGGGTGGCTGCCATACAACTCCAACAGCAAATTTTTTATATTCGGCAAAATAATAAAGTCAGATTCATGAAACTTGGCAGTCATATGTCCGATTGTAGATCAAACATATTTGTGAAGTTTTGGTGGAATTGCTTGGCAGGTTCGAGTAGCTCCCATACAAGTCTAAAAGCTTATTCTTAATATTTGGAAAAATAATAAAGTCAGATTCATGAAACTTGGCAGTTGTGTGTCCGATTATAGATCAGATATATTTGTGAAGTTTTAGTGGAATTGCTTAACAGGTTCGGGTACTTGCCATACAACTTCAACAGCAAATTTTTTATATTCGGCAAAATAATAAAGTCAGATTCATGAAACTTGGCAGTCATGTGTCCAATTATAGGCCAAATATATTTCTGAAGTTTTAGAAGAATTGCTTGACAGGTTCGGGTACCTGCCATATAACTCCAGAAGTTAATTTTAAATATTTGAAAAAATAATAAAGCCAGATTCATGAAACTTGGCAGTTGTGTGTCCGATTGTAGATCAGATATATGAAGTTTTGATGGAATTGCTTGACAGGTTCAGGTACCTGCCATACAACTGTAAAAGCTAATTTTAAATATTTGGAAAAATTATAAAGTCAGATTCATGAAACTTGACAGTCGGATGTCCAATAATAGGTCAGACATATCCGTGAAGTTTCTATAGAATGTCTTCACGTGTTCGAGTAATTGCTACACAATAACGAAAGGTGCAGGGTATAATTCAATCGGTTTATACCGACTGAAACGTTTTTACTTGTTTTTAGTTTATTTCTATATCTGTATGGTATCGAATGATCGTTTAATTTTTAGATTTATACATTTATATCAATCTATGGTACGATTGCATAAATCATAGAAAGTAGTTATATTGTTATAAGTGTCTGGCTATCTGGCATTCGCCAAATAATACTTTTATGCTTCTTATATTCTAATATTTTAGTACTTTCCCAAAAACTTTTTGAAAAAAGCGCTTATTAATTTCATTATGTCGTCCGTCCGTGGACATGTTTACAAAACTTCTGCCCCCTTGAAGAAATTCGAAATTTTATATATACATAGATCTTTACTATAAACTTATTTTCGTAGAAGAAAATTTTTACCTGTAAGCCCCTTAAAAAAGTTATAGTCTCCAAAAACTCTAAAAATGCCCCTTTTAGAGTAGATTTTTTATTGTAGTGAAACTATATGAATTTTTAAAATTGTGTACGCGCAGAAAAAGTAATGGCTTCTTGTACCGCGATATATTATATTTGAATCCGTTTTTACAACTTTTCGATATTGTTT